TTCCATTGCTAGAGCACCCATTTTAGGGTCCCACCCAGGAAGGTGATCCTTTTTTATAACAACTTCTTGGGAAGGATGACAAATGTCATCTCTGGAAAAGTAAGTATTATGAAGAAAACAATGAACTTGGGAGAAATGCTCTACCTTTGAGATAAGAAATAATGAGAAAATGCTTATTTGATTATTATAAACTGAACTCTATCAGTAATTCCAAAAATATTTATGCAATTTCTGCTTAGAATCAGCCAGGCAGATGTGTCAAAATGGATATTCTTGGGCCCCACCCAAACCCATTAATTTAGAATCTCTAAGGATTCGGTCAGGAAATCTATGTTTTTAACAGGGACTCTAGGTACCTCTTGGACATTCACTCACCTAAACCTTTTCATCTCTAAGATAATAGGCAAGTATCTGCATGTTGAGCAATACCATATAAACCATCAATGTCAAGACTAAGGCTCAACTAGCTTTATTCAATGACCAATAGCTCCTCCCTTATTCAACAATAACACACACACACACACACACACACACACACACACACACACACGTTATTGTTGAATTGTGCCTCACAGCAGCTCCTGTGTTGAGCCTCTGCCCTCTGGTGGTGTCAGTGTGCGTCATAGCGACCAGTATGCTGTGTCCTTCCGACTGTCTAACTGGTCGCTATGACGACACTGACCACCAGGGGGCAGACGCTCAGCACAGGAGCTGCCTTGAGGCACAATGGCCAGTTACAAAAAAACAGCACCATGGACCTGGTGCCCACAAACCAACACTCGGCTTCCCCCAAGTGGGACACAGGCCCGCCACCACCCCAGAGTGACAGGCCACCAAATCACAGCCAATGCTGCCAAGACCCCAGAGCCCAGCCCAGCCCAGAAATGGTGGCTGTGGGAGCTGGGTAATGACATCACACAGCAACGCCTGGCTTCCTCTCCCTAGTAACTAGCCTCCTTGGATTTTCTTCAGCCCAGGAACACAACTTGCTTTATAGCCAAGTGCAAACATTTTACACTTTATCCAAATGTCTGTGAAGCATTTTCCCGTGCCTCATCTCATTTGATCCTCACAGAAGTCCTGGAGTAGGAAGATAGGAAACTCGGTGGAATCCTATTTTCATTAGCTGGAAAACGGAGATTTAGAAAGTTTAGAAACGTGACCTGACTGAAAAGAAGAAGTGGTGGACCTTGAAAATGACTTCAGGTTTTCGCACTGCGCAGAATATAGTCAAACACTGCTGCAGTTAAATATTTTACCCTTTGTTCTCCCTGCGTGATCTACAATAATTATCTGCTTCATGCTAATATTTACTGCTGTGTTGCTGACAATTACCTGAAAGAGAAGTTGGGGTGCTTCACTGGGCTGGAAAAAGTTTAGCTAAATCAGAAAAAGCAGGTCTAATTAAGCAAATGTATTCTATATATATGGCTAAGTTGACTCGCGCATTGCGCCATACACAGAAAGCTCTCGCTGGCACCAATCGCGCGCTTGTGTTTCCATCTGTCATTGTCGATCGTGAATTAGGTCGACACTTCTCTATTATAGAGAAAGGGCAAATAGCAATACTGAAGTATTTCTTCTAATTAATTTCCTTTCAATGTGCACAAAACCATGCACTGGGCCACTAGTGTTATATAAACCACAGATTCAAATAAGACCCAACCCAAGTCACAAGTTTCAAGTGCCCATTGCTTGAGCAGCTCACACACATCATAGGAAGCCAAACCTATCACATCCGTGAGCACAACTCACTTATGCCAGGTCAACAGTCTTACTACAAAATATGTTCATTCCAAATATCTCTTTTCCTAAAACATACCATCCTGCCATGGGTGGGAAATAACTGAGAAAAATAAACAAAAAACACAAATCATGTTTTGCTCTTGACTTCTGCCAGTTGACTTCTGAGCTAGTACTGTGTGGGATTCAAAGACAAGCAAGTCTGTTCAGGCCTTTTATATTCTGAAAAATCCCTAGAAATGTTAGAATGAGGTTTCTTAATGAGCAGATTCAATGCTCACCCAATGGCCAACCTAAGACAAATGCCAAGTTTCCCTGACATCAGAACTGGTCCTTAAATAAACTCATCCCTGGACACTTGGGGTGCCATATGACCCAATATTAGCTTCTGGCTCCTGGAGAAGAAAAGCATTTTACCAGATCCGGTCTTCTCTACTCTTCTCTGCGTCAGCCCCTTGAGCTGGGAGGGGTCTCCACTGCACAGAGCAGCAGGAGTACAGAGCACTGACACCGAATCTCATGCTCAAGACTCCAACTAATTTTTCCCTTTCTTTGATATGTTTAAAATTACTGAACTTGTGTAAATTACCTGGAAAAATGATTTCCTACACATATTGCTAAAAAAAAAAATCTTGACAGAATAGAAGTCAAATAATCCTGAGAACTACTTTAAAAGATGTGGGGTTTAACTGTGGTGCTACAGCAAGTTTCTAATCTGACTCATGTTATGTGGTTCAACAATTTTTTTTTTATTTCAGAAATGGGTAAGTATTGACTTTCAGCTCTGATTACTTTCAAGTGCTTCTATATTAAAAAAGCGCGCACACACACACACACACACACACACACACACAAGCTCTACCCTACACAAGACAAGGCAGAAAGTAATAGTGCTTTAGAAACAATGATTGTGTACTGCAATAGCCAAAGAAGTCTACAAGAAAAAACAAAACATTTATAGAAAAAAACAGGCAGAGAAGTGAAATTTTCAAGATATTTCATAGGTATAAAAACAATTTTTCAGCATCCATATTGAATTAGTAGCCCACCACATAAATTACTTTTCAGATTCTATATGATCTAGGTAATAAAAAGGATCTATCACTATATAGATCAGTGGTTCTCAACCTTCTGGCTCTTTAAATACAGTCCCTCATGTTGTAACCCAACCATAAAATTATTTTCATTGCTACTTCATAACTGTAATGTTGCTACTGTTATGAATCATAATGTAAATATCTGATATGCAGGATGGTCTTAGTCGACCCCTGTGAAAGGGTCGTTCGACTGCCAAAGGGGTCGCAACCCACAGGTTGAGAACAGCTGATACAGATGAATAAAGCAATCCCTGGTAAGATATACTGCAACAACTTGAGGGGAAAGAGAGATTATTCAAGTTCTAAAAAGACTGGAACTCAGTACTCACTAAAGTGGAACACAAACAAAATATGAAGATGACTTCAAATTCAGAAGGTTTCTAAATTTCCATATTTTATTTCAGTTTTCTCATTACAAATTATAGCTACAAAGTGCAAAATCACTAGGTTATTTATTCCCAATAGAACTTTCTAATTCCCTTACCAGTTCTTATGCTTTTAACTCTGCAGCAAGCCAAAGAGAAGACTTTTTTCCCCGCCCACCCCCCCACCCCAAATTCTGAAACTCCACTGTGAATGCTCTCAGCCATGAAGCATGCACTGACCCCCCTCAGGGCTCTCTTGAACATGCTGACAGAATCTGCCAATACACAGGGACAAGGACAGAAGGGTGACGTGGCATTCCCTGAGATTTAAAAAGGCCCCTGTGGTCAAATGAGAATAGCTAAAGATGTTAAAGACACCAAAGCCAGTGCTACATTTAGACTCCAAAATTTTAAGCAATTGTGAAAGACAGAATGCAGGTATTAATGCTAGCATAAAAATATTTCTTAAATTCAGTGTTTATTTGTCAAATATCAACTGCTTTTTCTTTCATTCCTTTCTGTTTCTGATCTTTGGAAAAAACCACATCAGTATCAAATGTCACTTAGTTCTTATTCAAACAGAGGGAAGCAGACACAGCGGCTGCACCAGTGACTTAGCTGACCTGGGCCCTAAGTAAAAACAAACCTCTATAAATCACCAGATGTAAGCAATTGGGTAGTGATCACTTTAATTAATTGAACAGCTTTCCTGAAATTTACTGTATAATTTCGACCCTCCCAACACCTTTCCCAGAAGCATCTAACAATGGTGTTATTTTCTTCGGTTGTTTAAAGGAGAAAAACATTTTTAACTTCAGTGGATTAAATATATTTTTAAATTATTCAAGATTAAGATGGTAAACTACTTAATTTTAAAAATTAAATCATTCACATTCTAAATGCTGCCTTTAAATGCCCAAGTGAAAATTATTCCAAAATATCTTCAATGCATGAATATGTTATCTACCTTAAATGTACAGAAATGCTAACACCATTTTAATTTTATTTGAAAACTTGTATTTGCAAAATAATGTGCAATGGTATTTCTAACTTCAATCACATTCATTTATCTGGATAAAAGTTCCTATTTTGATTTGATGTTTCTGAACCTTGATTTCCACCACAGGCACCACACTTAAAAGAGGATACTCCAGTGCCTTATTAAAAACTCCCATTTCTCCTCACAAAACAACTCCAATCATTCTCCACCAGCAGCTAAGTAATAATACCTAACCCACAGATCCCATGCCAACCATTAAGCAATACCAGAGGTAAAGTCTCAGTCAACAGAATATAATCAAATACATGTCTCTATGGGGTGCAGGCAGCTTCCCTGAATTTTGGAGGCCTGAGTTCAGCAATGAGTGAAGTGTAAAGTGTGTTGTTACAATAATACTTCCAATTTAGCAGAGAGAGACTGGGGCTGAAAAACAAGTCAACAGTTTTAAACACCTCATCACCCACTGAAGGGAGTATTCTTATTTTGCTTCTAAGGCAGTGGTTCTCAACCTTCTGGCCCTTTAAATACAGTTCCTCATGCTGTGACCCAACCATAAAATTATTTTCGTTGCTACTACATAACCGTAATGTTGGTACTGTTATGAATCGTCATGTAAATATCTGATATGCAGGGTGGTCTTAGGCGACCCCTGTGAAAGGATCATTCGACCGCCAAAGGGGTCGCGACCCACAGGTTGAGAACCGGTGTTCTAAGGTCTTTACTCCAGCTCATATCCAACTGCTACCCCATAGTCCCTGCAGACATACATATGAAATCCTGCTAACATTCACTTACAAGGAGAGAAGTGTAATATTTGCTGAGACAGGTCCTAGATTTGGAATGGTCTCCAATTCATTGTTGTTCAGTTTCCTATAAATGCCCCCAAAAAAAGAAAAAAGAAAGAAAGCTGATTAGGTCATCTGTAATTCATAGAGACGAAACTCTGTAAAATTATTTAAAATTATTGTTAACTCAAGTTGGCAGTTTTAAATAATTTATTGCTATCCAAATGTTTTCACAGTCAAGTAATGTGATGGGTAGTATTTTATTCAAACGTCAAATAGGAGATAACTACGACTCACACTTCTCGAAGGCTTTGAAGGTGGCTCGTGGAACTTGCCTTGATGACAGACAATCTGTTGTGACTTAAGTCCCTATGAGAAAACAAAAATAAAATGGTAAGTCGTTTAAAAAATCACTAATAGCACTTAATGATGTACAAGACAGAATGGACCTGTGAAATATCTCTATCAACACTGGTGATGACATAAGACATAATTGGCCCATCCTGACCATAAACTAGATGGTAACCAAAATGCCAAACTCCAAAAACACAAACTCTGAGGACAGAATTAGTTTAGGAGGCTGGCAGATTCCAATGCTTTAAGCCCACAAGTGTTTTAGGAGATGTTTTTTGGCACAGGGTGAACAGACCTTTTGTGAGCTGGCTGTTTTGCTTCACCTTCCCCATCCCCTACCATCTCCTCACTTCCACCGTGATATGATGAAGTCATGGCTTAAGAAAAGTGGCTAATAAGGCAGGTTGCTGAAACTAAAACCTCTAAAGAAATATTTTTATTTTATTATCAGAAATTTAAACACCAAGTGTCTTATTATAGTCAAACAAAGTAGAAATTGCTTTTCACACATTTATTTCTCTGGGCTAAGGCAACAAGTTATTTAAGGTATCATTTTGTGGTGTGTGTGTGTGTGTGTGTGTGTGTGTGTGTTTGCATGCGTGTACACTCGAGTGCTGAGGGTAGAAAACAACCTAAACCCTATGCTCTCCTGAATTCCCCAAATCTCAGTATCTGGTAATATACTGTGTAATTTAAACCACATTAGCCACCTAACAAAGTTAAGCAGAATGTACAGAAGGCTGTGGTCACATTTCTTTTCAATCATTAAAATAACTCTGCTTTTTTACGCAAAGATTCAGTCTAACTTGACCTAACAATTTCCATTGGACATTATTCTTTTTTAAAAGAAGCAACACAAAACTTCTACTTACACAATACTCTAGGCTAGGAAGTCATCACAGCATTTAAGATTCAAGCTGTGATTTTTTAAACCTGCCAAATATTTGGTTATCTTCCCTATATTTGCCAACATATTGAATACGTGCCCTCAAAATGGTGCGATGAAAATAAAATGGCTGAACAGCCATTGAAAACCAGGCTAACAATAATATGGTTTAAAGCTCTCCCGCTGAAAAAGGTTAACCAACCCTTACTAAATTAATTCTTTCGGTGTTTAAAGAGAAGGATTTTTAAATAACCAAAGTTTCAAATAACCAAATTTGATTGGAGAAAAAGCATGAACCATTTGTTATATGCTCAAGTATGCACCCCCCCCCCAAAAAAAAAGAAAAAGGCAGAGAAACACAGTGTTACTCAGTGCCCATCCATTAGTTAACAATTAGAAATCAGAGAGCCTTTCCAGCCTTTGAATTTTTTGTTTTGAGAATAAACCTGGATTTCTCCATTTCACACACACACACAAATCTGCAAAGGTTTTTTTTATTTGAAACATGTTTGCCTAAAGACCTACCAGACAGTAACAGACATGAGCAGATTTGTTCTGGTAGAGTTATAACATGAAAAAAAAAATCTGGCACAGTCTTTCAACTATAAAAATCCTGCAATTACAACCACTGCTGTGCATGCTCACCACGCTGGAGCCAGACACTTTCCCTCAGCCCCAGCTCAGGTCCATCTGGAGTTCATCAAGGAAACCGTGAGCCCAGCAGCTCACGTTAGGATTCAAACAAAACCTGTGTGCTTTTAGCACCACAGACAGTCACAGATTTCCCACAGGGTTCAGAAAACAACCAAGGAAAAGAGTCCTTCACCTGGGAGGTAGCCTGAATCAACAGAAAGTCTCACTTGGACCCACTTAACTAAACATTGAACCGGCATACAACTGCCTCCCCTATTGTTTCAAGGTGTTTTTTTTAAAGGAGGAACCAATCTGGCATTTACATTTAACACAGGTGATTTTCCTTTTAATTAGAAAAACTAAAACCATACTCTTCACTTCAGTTTAAGGATTATTCCACAAGGCAATCCTGTGAGGAAAGAGATGGAGTGCCTAGCATTTTTCCCAACCAGTAATGGGATGAGAGCTCCAACAAAAGGCCTTTAAATGGAGAAACTGCCTCCAGAGAACAGTTGCACATGCGGGGGGGACCGCTCACTTCTGATGCAGAAGCAAGAGCTGGTAACCTTAACTATTTCAGTTATTGCAACACTTCCACTCCTGAATTCTGTGTACTACTATTAAAACCACATTCTATGTGGGAGAAAAAAAGACACCCCTTAAGTGACTTTTACTGCTAAATACTTAAAGCCATGAAACTTTTAATGCACCTAAATTTAGACTTAATTCAGTTTATGTTTCAGAAATGCTTATTTTCCAGATAAAGGATGTCACATTTTCCTAAATCTTCCTTATATTGTTTTTATAGCTAGACCATTACAAACAAATTCCAGTTGTACAATGTCCATGTTTTGTTAAAACCCGTAAGAACATTCAGTAAGGAAGGCAGATTCATTTTAGACCCCCATTAGTGAGCATCTTCACCAAGAAACTTTTTTTTTTAAGAAAAAGAAACCATTTCTATTATATTTAGGGACATATCTTTTTTAAATGTTTAACAATTTTTTGAATTTTTTTAAAATTTATATTTCAATTATCATTTACATTCAAGATTATTTTTTGTTGGTTTCAGGTGTACAGCTACACATAGTGGTTAGACAACCATATACTTTACAAAGTGTTACCAAGAAACCTTAAAAAAATACACAAAAAAACTTTTGGTAGTGAGGTTAATAAAAGGAAAAGGTGGTCAGGCAGGGAGGTGTTAACTATTTACCCAGAACTCAGCTGGCCAAATACTTGAAAATCAAACTCTACTTGGTAGAGACAATCTTCCTGAATATTAGCAAGCCCATAGATATATACGAAAATAATTAATTTACAACAACTGGTTTCAGCTATCATTTTCTTCCTTTCAGCATTTGGAAATCTGACTTCCAAGTCAAATTTTAAAATGCAAATCCAGCACAGCTTCTTAATCAATCCCACTGGGGCCCGCAGAGCTGCTAATTCAGCAGAAATCTGGAAGGCTGAAAAACAAAAAGCCAGGCTGTAGCTGTTTTAAGACACTGATCCAGAGTGACTCATAAATCAGCCTGCTATGTTCAAGTTTTAGTCTGGAAAATACAGAAAAACAGCTGCGAAAACCATAAGGACTATTACCCCCACCCCAGCCCTAATTCTGATACCAACCAAAGGATTTATAACAGGCGGACACTAAGGAAATCCCACCAGCAGAAAGAAGTCCCTTTCGGGACTCTTTTCCCCTGAGCCCTACTAACTCAAACATCTCTACGTGTACAATAAATAATTTTTAAATTCCAGCGAAATTTTAATAATACTTGAAGCTCTCAATGGCAATTGAGCAACTTTCCCCTTTGGCTAAGGAACACGTTTCTAACAAGTGCTCTTCTTTAGGTTCAGGACTCTGTAAGCACAACTCTAGATGTAAACTCAAGAATGCCTTTTAAGGCAGTTAGTTGTAAGCAACCTTCAAATAGTTACTGTCTTAAGGGCCACTTCCACTAAAATATTAGAAGTTATTTTTTGAAAGAACTAACGGCAGCATTATTATGTTACAGCTCGAACTATTCAACTTTTCACACATGAGGTTCCTATGGCAATAAATTACAACAGAGTAACGTGAAAAAATAAATAATTATAACAAATAGACTGATTTTTTTAAAACTTGCTAATTTGACAAAAAAAAAAAAAAAAAAAAAAGGAGGACACTAAACTTTTTCTGAAGAGTGCTCCCATAAGCTAGTCCTGAGGCCAACTTTCATTACTTTAATTATCTAAGGAAAGGAAGTTAAGATACAGAAGAACAATATGCATTTTTCTACTTATGTCTAAACTCTGAAACAATCTACTTAAAAGCCTTTCTCATTATGTAAAATTTAAGAAGCAGGTTTCTTATGCCTCCTGTTACAAACACCAAGTAACAGAGAAGTTAAAGCTCCATTTCTTGGGTTTTTCTTCTCCTTTCAAAGGTGGAGAGAGGAGACCTGCAGAGCTTTAAGCACAAACAAAAGGAACATTTACAATAAAGAATTTAGACCACATGGTTCGGTGACAACTACAAAGTTGGTTAAAAGTCACAAAAGTACAAGAATGACAGAGCTGTCCAATGAGTGATCGCAGCGGGGCTTCTGACAACAGACCTCGCGCTTATTTATACAAGTGGAACTTATTTTCACATACATTTAAGGAATGTGGACTTGTATTGAGACAATTTACTGCTGGCGGAAATGTAATTAAAGATCGTGCTAACCAAATAAACTGTAATTTGTTTTTAGTGTGCCACCAAATTATCTGCAAAACAAAATCCTAATTAGGTCAGCTACTTTTAAGATAATGTTTAAATAGGTACCAAGCCCCTTTTGGTTTAACTCAACTTCTAATCGAGAGCAATACAGTTATCTTTTAAAAGACAACCAAACTCACAAAAATTTAATATTGCAGGGTATGAGGCCTCTTGATATTGAGAAACTACTGAATATAAATTAGATTTGTGAAATATCCAAGCCTTTCCAAACACAGCCCAGGAAGCACTACTATATTCATTTTCTTTTTCTCATCCCTCTGTTATTCATAGGTGTTCACCTCCAGTCAGTTCCATATGTTGTCAATAGAGCCATTCACATTTCATGAATAAGGCAGCATGACCTCCACAAGAGGCAATTGAGCAGAATTAGCCACAACTAATTGAAAGTCTTCCTGCTTTGGGTTAAAGCCTTTATCTCCATCTTCAATTGTAATAAAAACTGCTAAATAAGACATCCTGTGATAAGAGATTAAATATCAATCTAAAACTCTCCAGTTCTACTTTTTTATTAAACCAAGGTTTGCTAACAGACAAAGAATATTATTTTGATGGCCAACAATTCTACAATTCAAAAATAAATATTCTGGTTGGCACAATGATTTAAAAACAATTTCCTTCTACCATTATGATGATGATGATGATGATGACATTAGGATAGTCTACTAGAATTGTTTAGGAACTTAGAATTTCCATTGCAATTCTGCTAGGCCCAAATCTATTAAGTGTAGACTGTACTTTTACTTCTTTTAAACAGTAACTTTTTTATTTTTAAAGCACAAGTTTTGACTGTTTACATGTTACAGGAGTCCTCCCATTTCAACAAAACTAAGGTTGGGAGAGAATAAAGACATGACATTTGGAAAGAATCAGCCTTTCCAACTAAACTACATTTTTTTCCTTGTTCTTGCACGCAGTTGGCAGTGATTTCAGGTTTTCAGACTTCACAGCTAGCATCCAAAAACTTGCATAATAGCACTCAGCACTCTCTCCTAAACCGTCTGGGCGTGCTGAGCAGCTACAGAAATCACGCCCTTGGTTCTCAAAACCAGCTCCTTCCCTTCCAGATCTACTGATCGGCCTTGCCAGCTTCCCACCGGAACGAAGATGCTACGATCTGGTCTAGGAGGGGGGTTTATGGGGCACCGGAGAACGAACAACAAAAGAATGCCCATCTACCACAGCTTGGACAGTGCCCCAACTCTAGAGAGAGGACTTCCTACATGAAAGGAGCGCGTTCAATACTGGTGGGGTACAGGGAGAGGGCCTGACACAGTTAGAAACTATAGCTGAACCCCAGGATCTTACACTCACACAGGGGGAACTGAGAACTCCGATAGTCCGCAGGTGGCCACCTCTCCCGGCCAGGCAGGGGCGCGCACTGGAACCCCCTGGGGAAGCTCCAGGCGCAGGAAGTTGACTCTTCCCCCAGAGTTGTCAGTGGCTCCCTCCCCTCGCCCAAGTGAGGCTAGACCGGTGCGCGTAGGACACCCCCCCCCCCCTTCCCCACTCTCTCCCCACCCAGCGCAGCCCGCAAGGCGCAGGGGAAGGGAGACCAGCGAGTCCCCGGTGGCTCCTTTCCATCCGCACCCAGCGCCCTCGAGGCCTGGGCCAAGCGCAGCTGCCCGGGAGAACGCTGCTGCGCGCCAAGTGCCCAGGCCCGTGGCTGGCTTCCCTCCCCCGCCTTCGGGAAGAATACTTACAGCCGAGCGACCCAGGGCGGGAGCGGCTCGGGAAGGTGCGCCAGCCGCAGGCGGCTGCAGTCCAGCAGGTCTCCGAGGCAGCGGCAGGGAGCGGGGCACCGGCGCTCGGCGGCGACCCCCCGGCTGATGCCCGCGGCCGGGCCCGCGCGTCCCAACAGCGCGCACAGCAGCAGCCCCAGCGCCGCCGCGGGCGCCCGGAGCTTCGGCGCGCCCATCGCGGTCCCGCGGCCTCTCGCCCGGCCCTGCGCTCCGCAGCCGGCGCGCGCTCGGAGCCCCGCACCAACTTCCAGCCGAGGGTGATGCCCGCGCCCTCCCCTCGCGCTCCCAGGTGAGCGCCTTTCCTTCACTCTCCGCGCCGAAGCCTCTTCCTGCACCGGAGCAGCGTGAGGGAAACCGAAAAGAAGGGCGCCCTGCGGCAGAGGGGCCGGACGAGCAGCGTCGGCGCGCCGGAGCCCCTTTCACCCGCAGAAGAAACTTTTCGGCCGCCTCCCCGCGGCGGAGCGCCCAGTCCCGGCTCGGCGGACTCGGGGGCGGGGCGAGCGGCGGCCGGCGCGCGCCCATTGGCCGGCCAGGCCCCTGGCCACGTGACAATAACAGGGCTCCAAGCCCTGGGCGGGAGCGCAGGAGAAAGTGGAGCTGAGGTTGTAGGAAATTCGGGGTTACATTTTCCAGCCTCTCGGGCCAGAAGTTCCACTACATCCTGGGAAGCATATATCCAATGGCGTTGGAGAGTAAAAGGTAGTGAGCAAACAAAGTATATAATGTTAGGGCAGCTCGCGGAGTTGGAGGTATTGCAGGGAACATCAGGGGAGTCAAGTTAGCTCTGTCACCAGAAAACTCTTCAATTCCAAGTGTTAAAAAGGTATAAATTCCCCTACTATCCACAGATAAACAATGGTTTCAATGAAAGCGCAATTTTCTTTAACAGTAATGCTGGTCGGGTTTTTCCATATATTGGCTCCCAAAAAATAAAAAAAAAAAACAATAAAATGTAAAAGTTGTGGTATTGGAAATGGTATATTGAGTTACAAATAGCCAGCTGGATAGACCTGGGAGGAAATTATGGGAAATGGCCTTCTAATAAACCGCGATGGCAATCATAGATTGCATGCAATAGGTGGAAATAATAAAAGTAGTCACAGTAATATTTCAGAGCAAAATGAAAACTAAGTGGGAAGAATTAATCTATGTACCATGGTCCACCTGGGCTTTGAGTGATGACAAATCCCGATTGAGAATGCTACCAGGCCAGAAGTACTTGCCTGCCTCCTCAGTCGGGTGGATTCAGCACACAGGACTTGCCAGGGAAGTCTGTGCCTTGACTTACTCTTGCAGGTGACGGGGGCCACCTCAGAGATCATCTGGGAACGCCCTCCTCTGTAGGATGAAATAGAGCCAGAGAAGGTAACTAACCTGCTTGTGGCAAAAACTGGAAGCTGATTTTAAACTTCCACTTCTGCAATCAGCGTCGCTTGGGTGTTTTCTGCCAAAGCATTCCTCGGGGCCACTTAAACTTTTCATTATTGAGAAGTGGAGATAGTTTGTAGAGTTGAGACCTTAACTCCAACTCTAACGCCCATTGATTTCCACTATAGCAAATGACCCGTATAAGCACCTCCATTCATGAGGGAGAGCAGTGACTCGCTTGGAAGTTGAGGCAACCTACTTCACATACATATCCCATCCTCTTCTTTCCAGCTGCCATTAGCATCAACTCCACCATCTTTTTTGATGATTTAGAAAATATAATGACAGCACCTTGGTTTTCAAGTGAACATTTTGCCTACTTGGGAGTGGTCCAGACACGCCACAGTCAATTTACGGATTTCCCATCTCTGTCTCATATGGAGAAAATTGGGCTTGGTGCATTGGAGTTTTTAAATATATATTTTATCGATTTTTTACAGAGAGGAAGGGAGAGGGATAGAAAGTTAGAAACATCGATGAGAGAGAAACATCGATCAGCTGCCTCCTGCACACCTCCCACTGGGTTGTACCTGCAACCAAGGTACATGCCCTTGATCAGAATCGAATCTGGGACCTTTCAGATCAGAATCGAATCTGGGACCTGCAGGCCAATGCTGGTCAGGGCAGGAGTTTTTAAAAAGGAAAAAAAATATGCCATTATATACGTGCCATTATGTATAAGCGTGGTGGCATGACTATGGTGGCTTGCTGATTGACACATCACCCACCTGACAGAGATAGTCAGAAATAGACAGTTTACCACTTTGGGGAGGCTTGCCTCATTTCCATTCCTCAATCTATACTCTTCTTATATTACTTCACCTTTTGTGAGTTCTATTTACACCCACATGCTGATATTTACCATATCCATATTCGAGCCCAGATATTTCTCCGAAACTCTAGATTCATATATTCAACCATCTGTAGGTCATCTCAAATTGATGTCCATATGTAACATGTCTGGAATTAAATTTCACAGCCCCTGGGCCTACTGCTTCTCCTCCTGATTTTACTATCTCAGGGAAAGACACCTCCCTCCGGCCAGATGGAGATCCAGACGCCTGATTCACTCTTAACACTTCTTCATTCTCAGCACCACCTGTACATTGAATTAATTAGCAAGTCCTGATGACGCTAGCAACTAAATATATCTCTTCTCTATCTCCATAGACATTGTGTACACTCAGACCACCATCAGCTCTTGCTTGTATTACTGCCATAGCCTCTTTCCTGGCTGACATTCCAGGCCTTTCTCAACAGTGCAGTCAAATGATGTCCCAAAAGCTCAAATCTGAGCCTTGACTCAATTACCTGGTTCCTTTCACAAGCTACCATTGTCCTCAGTGTGTGTGTTTGGCCTCTACTGATCTCTCAAACTCTTTTATTTAATTCTCTCCCTTTTATTCTAGGAACAACTTGCAACTCTCTTTCCATGACATGCTCTTTGCCTTTGGTCTTTCTTCACATGCTGGTCCCTCTGTGCAGATCACTCTCTGCCCTTCTTCTGCCTGGTTGACTTGTCCTGCTATTAAGCATCCCTCTTTGGGAGGAGGCTCCCCTGATATAATAGGTATTTCTCCAATGCACCCCAGCACATACTGGAACAATATTCACTGGAATGTCAGTGGCCATTTTCACTTGACTACTTCCTAGGTAATGCTTAGAATTGCCACATCACCATGTATCCTGTATGTCCATTAAGGGTTTCACCTGATATATGACAAGTTATTTAAATTTTCCTGCTCTGGCTGGTTTGGCTCAATGGATAGAGTGTTAGCCCATGGACTGGAGGGTCTTAGGTTTGATTCTGGTCAAGAGGTGGGAGGCAACCAGTTAAGGTGGATTTGTCTCTCTCACATTGATGTTTCTTTATCTTTCCCCCTCTTTTCCATTCTCTCTAAAGATCAATGGATACCATCAACAAATCAACAAGTGATAAGTGCTGGTGAGGATGCGGAGAAAAGGGAACCCTAGTACACTGCTGGTCAGAATGCAGACTGGAGCAGTCACTATGGAAAACAGTATGGGGTTTCTTCAAAAAATTAAATATGGAACTGCCCATATTTAATTTAACCCAGTGATCCCACTTCTAGGAATATATCCTAAGAAACCCAAAACACCAATCAGAAAGAATATATGGCCCGCTATGTTCATAGCAGCACAATTTACAATAGGTAAGATCTGGAAATAGCCCAAGTGCCCATCAGTAGATAAGTGGATAAAAAATTGGTGGTACATTTATACCATGGAATACTATGTAGCACTAAAAAAGAAGATTCTCTGACCCTTTGAGACAGCATGGAGGGTCTTGGAGAGTATCATGCTAAGTGAAATAAGTCAGTCAGAGAAAGACAAGTATCACATGATCTCACTCATATGTGGAATCCAATGAATAAAATAAACTGATCAACGGATTAGATCCAGAGACATGGTGGCATGGAACAGAGTGCAGAATCTCAGAGGGGAGGTGGGGGAAGGCCAGAGGGGGTCGATGTGGGGAGGGGGGGGGAAGGAAGGGGAACATATGTAATACTTTCAACAATAAAGATTTGAATAAATAAATAAATATCAATGGAAAAACATCTTTGGGGATAGAATTGATGTTTATTGATGAGCAAGCCTATGCTTTTTACCTTAGACTTGGAAATTTAAATAAAAATTGCTAGCCATCCAGAATAAATAATAAATAAATAAATAAATAAATAAATAAATAAATAAATAAATAAATATTCAGTACCTCAGTTTCTCCTTTTGTAAGTTGGGAATGCAATAAAAACTTTATCTGATTCCCATTTATCAGTTCAGTGGATTAGCTGTCACTGTTTGTTCTCTCTGTATGATTTATTGACTAATGCCTAGGACCAGCTGAAATCTGGAGGCTCCCAAGCCCTTCCCTAGTACACTATTTACATGTTTGCTCCTACCTGTTGCCCCATACTAGTTCCAGACTTGTTTATATCTACCATTACACAATTAAATGATTGTGTAAACCAAATAAATACAAGTGCAACCAGAAAGTGACTTTGTTTCTATGATAATGAATTTGAAGGTTGGGAAAGATTCTTTAAAGGTAATCACTAAAACACAATGCTGTGAAATTAGATATGGGCAAGACAGTTGTAAACACTGGGGAGAGATTGTAAATCTAGAAGATTGCTTTGCAAGCATCTTTAAATGCTTGTTTTACTTTAAAGTAATCAGGATTGGGAATCAATCAGCTGAGGATGTTTTGTGGGTGTGGTTCATGCTCACTGAAAACTTTACTTGGTCATTGAGAGAGCTAACTAGGATGACATGGAAAGGGTGTATGTAGCACACATTACATATGGCTGTTCTCCATCTCAGGATGTCCGCAGCCATGCAGTTAGTAGAAATAGAAACTTGTTCCATGTGGGAACTTTAAATCAATCTAATATTTTTACAGACATCTCAACTCCTTGTGAACCACTGGACAGAACTCCCCCACTAGGTATCTGCCTAAGCAGGTGAGGACTGAAGGTCCTTGAGTTCCTTCACAGACCTGTGCAGTTTCTTTCGAAGTGTCTTGACAATATGAATGAAGGCAGGGTCCCAGGAAAGATGGTCTGTAATTGAGGGGAAAAGAAACATGAAATTCTATTTAATATCACCAAATTTATCAGTTATGACCCCAAAACAGCCTTAATGAGTCTTAGAATTCTCTGATAGTTTGTCTAGACCAGTGATGGCGAACCTATGACATGCGTGTCAGAAGTGACACGCAAACTCATTTTTTGGGTTGATTTTTCTTTGTTAAATGGCATTTAAATATATAAAATAAATATCAAAAATATAAGTCTTTGTTTTACTATGGTTGCAAATATCAAAAAATTTCTATATGTGACACGGCACCAGAGTTAAGTTAGGGTTTTTCAAAATGCTGACACGCGGAGCTCAAAAGGTTCACCATCACTGCTCTAGACACACACACACACACACACACACACACACACACACACACACACAGTAGTAGCAAGTGTTGAT